TGTTCAATACTTATTTTACCCGCTGTATAAATGCATAATAAAACAAGCCTTGAGCAAACTGTCTCTACAAAATCTTACCTTAATGAAAAAAGTCTTGAATCATCTGTAGAAGTGTCCTTTAAATGGTGCCACGTTTGTAAGGAACATGCATTTAACAGGTATAAGTCTTATTGCCAAGAAGCATTGTTACCAAGAAATAATCTACCAATTTCTTTACTTTTGGTGACAATTTTAATTTAAAAAGTTTAAACACCTTTCTCTTAAGCCAAGCATTTTTGGTTTAAATCTTAAACTTTGAAACCTATGATTTTGTAAAAAAAAATCAAGTCAGTCGAAATGTCAGTTCAATCCTGTGATACACAACATTTTCTGACATGTTTTTACTTTAAATTAAGTTTCTTCTGGGTAGTATTCACAAGGGCTAGACTTCTGAGGYGATGTAACTTTTTTATTTTTATAAYTTTTGTCTTCAGTTTGAWGTACATRTTTCAAAAGTCACATATTGCAACTCTRTTCCCCCCATGAAGTAGAGTAGCTACAGCTCCATTCACATGACCTACAACCCCAATAGATTGTGACTAAACTGTGGCACAATTTGATGATAAGGAGATATCACTGACCAAAAGCAATCCTCCAGGTTGTGCTGTTTTTTGTAAATGTAGGCCGTCTCCCACTTGGGTTTGATGGTGTTTTTTTCCTGCCAGAAGTGGTTGAAGAAGTCTGAGATCTTGCGCGCCGGTGGCAGGAGCCGCTGCAGGTTGTGAGTGTAGTCACAGGAGGGGCCAAAGCTTCCCGCTGACATGATGGGCGTCCGGAGGTTCAGGCCTATTTCTAAACTGTCAGGAGAGAACATCAACAACACAAAAACTGGCAGGAGAGAAGACACGGCTCTTCCATTCATTTAGTCAAGAAGAGTTTGGAAAAAATGAATATTGCCATACATTTACAATWGATTAACTTTTGGAATCATCACAGTTCAAGATGGGTGATTTTTTTACAAGTAATGCTAAATCTTTATTTTCTAAATGTAACTGTTAATGTAGCTCTTAAAATAAAGCAAAGTGTCACTTACTCAACTATTGAGAACGTAGCTAAGGTGCAGGTTGGCCCGAGCACAGCACAACCGAGCTTATCGGAAAGCTGCAAAAGAGCTGGATGTGAGTTGGCGTTGCCAAAATGGTACAGTTGGGTCAACTGATATAACAACATGCATTGTTTCTTAAATCAACGGTAAACTTTAAAGATTAAATGCAACAAAAATAAATTTAAAAGGTGAAAGATAATAACAATTGTCCTGCCTCTGAGCTGTTGGCTTTAAGAGCAATTTAGTTAAAACTGTCTGAAAATAAGCTGCTTTAAAGTCAGCATCAACCATAAACTGAATCTGTCATAATGCATATTAGCTACTTACTAGAAACTCATCAGTGAGTAAAACTTTATTAGTTTTACTTTTAATAATATTTCTATATTTCAGATTTAGTCAGTCATACACTTAGTTCTTATCAGTGTTTAAAAGAGGACATGTTCAAACTCTGTTTAGTCAAAGTTAAACATGAAACGTCAAAGCTTATTACAACTGGCCCTCCGAGGGCCACCATAACACTCATG